TATATATATATATATATATATATATACTATATATATATACATATATATATATATATCTCAAGATGTATGAAATCGACAACCACCTCAATGAAGATTCAAAAGAGCGAACTTGAAAACTGTTCATGTATAGTAAAGAATCAACTGTTGAGGTTGCCAGACATAGATAACCATGAATATTAATTTTAATAGATATAGTACTTTAATATAATAATCCATAAAAATTGGATTTATATATCGCTTTGTTGGTGCAATTCATTTTCACAATTCATCGGAATTCTATGTGAGTTACATATGTGTGGAAAGCAAGAAGAGTTTATAATGCAAATAAAAAAGTTATGTCATCGATAACACATATGGATGTTCAATAATGAGAAATGAAACAAACTGAGATTTGAGATCGGGAGTTTTATCGCATTCAATGCGAATGAAATATATCACGTCACAATGTGACGTCTATATATATATATATATATATATATATATATTCGTAAGGATTAGCGTAATTTTATCTATTTTATTTTTGCGTACACCGCAAAATACGAAGCGTTTCCAGTTTTTCCTGATAGCTTCGTATCGATACGAATCTTATAATCGTTATAAATCTCTTACATAATTTGTTGAAGTGCTGCCTTGCTTGCGTGTGTGTATTTTTTTCTTTATCTCTCTCGTGTTCTCTTTCACTCTCTTTATTTTACTTCTCTTTCTCTCCCTCTCTTTCTCGCGTTTTCCCGTACACTTCTACATACGTATCTACTGTGCATTCCTCGCCTCCCCAAGGTTTTCAGTGATCGTCTTAGGAATACGTTTTTATTAGGCATAAATGCATCTTTTTCGCATGTATATAACAGCTATATTCACTAAATTACATCAACGCGTCATACGGAAATTCAAAAAGAAACAAAATCATTCTGCGTTTTGCAGAACGATTTTTTTTTCGTCTCGTCAACGTGATTCACATTTCAAGTGCGCGCTTGAAATGTACGGGAGAGACGCGTGAACCGAAAGATTTTTTCTCAATGTAATAAATATATAACGAATGCATTTATAACTTCTTCAAAAGACAAGCACCATTCCTCTTTCTTCTCTTTAGCTCACACCCCGGGCTGTCTTTTATAACGCGCCAAGGGAGAAACACTGTGTGTATGTGTGTGTGTGTATGTTTGTGTGTATGTGTGTTAAGTAAAACATTGATATTACATGTAATCGATCGTAATTTAATATTGGAATGATAACTTCGCCTCCGTTCGGTCAATCAAAGACTACCGGGAATCGAAAGTTACACAAGTGTTGAGACTGTAAGGCCGAGTGTGGCCAACTCAGCATTTTCTCAGACGCCGTCGCTATTGCACTCGTTACCCCGGCCACAGTGTCAGCCACTCACTTGGTCTGATTGTTCTGTTGTTCTAACGGCGGTGTCAGAGAAACCGTCGTGCTGTTGTTCAGATTTGACGTGGCCGGACTTTTGCGCGCAAGTTTCGACCTGCAACAAATAAAAAAAAAAAAAACATCGATTATTTTTTATTCATATATATATATTTCAAAGACAATCGTTACAAAATTAAGTAACGTTCAACAAATCGTATAATAAATAAAATCTAAACTGATTGTTAAGACTATACGTGCCTGATTTGACCAGCTAAAAGAGGATTGATCGCGTACAGCCAATCGTAGACCTCTTTGTCGCCTAAAGTTTGCAGTAAATATCCTCGGTGCTTAGTGACCACGCTACATGCATAAAATATTTTAGAATATATCAAAATATAAATTTTATATCACAAGTATATATTTTTGTTATCTAATTCTATCTCTTCGCTTGCGATAACACGATTACCTGAATGTATTCGGCACTTTCACCATGGCTAGCTGATCTTCGGAATACTCAACTTGAGCTGTGGCCAAATTGATAAGTGCCCTTTCAACGGGGTCTTTTTCTTCTCGGAAAATAAGAACGTACGGTCGGCGAACGGCCTAAAAGAAATAGTAAAAATAAAAACAAAAAAATAAAAAAAAAAAACATGTAAATTGTTAAATAAAATTTTAAACACACAAAAGAGAAATAGGATTAAATGTAAAAATTAAATGACGATAAACTTACCACCCAGCGCTTCTTCCAGCCGTTGGTTTTGTGTTCGAGAACGTTCAAGTAACCTTTCCGAGCGATCACCGGACTGATGCGTATTTCCTCGACTTCCGGCACGTAAAGCACCAGGTTCTCTTTCGACGGTGAGGACGATCCGAGCGGCGGTGGCGCGACAGAGCAGCTCTGATTCGCCGACTCGCTCGCCAGTATGCTCTCCTGGAGTTCTTGAAGTCTAGCCCTCTCCGGCGAGCTCAACCTAAGGAGGCACGACTTAGACCTGCTCCATACTACTATACCAGCAGCCTGCAAGTAACACTCCGGCATAACCCTGACCACGAGCCAATTGTGCTGGCGGTTGTCTTTGATGTGTCGAGACACACGAATCTCGACCATCGCATGTTGAAGCAAATGCAAAAGCAGATGCCTCAGAAGTTTAGATCGCTTGAAAGAAGCGCGATAATCTGGCGTATATCTGGCCAAAGCTAGGAAACGTAAGAGAAACTAGCGTATTAAGAAAATAATTTTGTTTTTTAAATTACTTCAACTCGATCACTTCGACAATATCTATGAAATACTTATTTATATGCATTAAAGTGTAATAAAATTACACTTATCGAAAACAATTCAGTAACAAAACAACTGTCTTCGAATATTATCCTTTACAACTGTCGGATATTTTAAAATCTAAGAGAGAAACGCAATATAAAATCACGACGAAGCAAAGCATTGACAACCGCTACTAGCAGGAGCAGTCACAGGCATGCAGGGAGGGTTACCTGCTCTAAGAAATGGTTAGCTCTCGCGTATACTGACTCTTGAGATGAGGACGATATAACCGAGGACATCATAGACGCGGACAAATCGGTTATGGTGTCTTCACCGGGCGAGACGTCGGAAAGCAATATCGGTTCTTTACTCGGTATTCGTCCTTGAATAAGCTTAATGTACTTGGTCGCCAATTCGCGCTCTCTCTCGGTCATTTCCCAGGGTTCGTAAACGTCTTTGCTGGTCGAGCGTTTCAGCTTCACCGGACTGGCATGTGGCTCGTTCGTGGCTTTCGCCACCATGTTACACACATCCTGCATCAAAGTATCACTGAATTTGAAAAACTATATGCAAAAATTTAAGATATTCTCAATTAGATAACTAAAAATTCGTTGATTGTCTTTCCGATCCTGTGCAGCAGACAATATATAACTTGCCTTTTCGGTTTTTGTAAAATCGTAAAACGGCTTATTGCAGAACGGTACTTTGTCGATACCAAGCTTTTCCCTCAATAGCAACGTGTGTCGTACTCTCTCCACCTCTTCGAGTCTCGTCAATTTCTCGAGCTCCCATTGATGATCAAATATCAAACTGTCACCGCGTGGTCTCCATCCGTGTAGATTTTCCTCGCCTCTGACGTATGTCGAACTCGTGTCTAAGACGCGACGTTGACGTCTTTGAACTCCTGTAAACAAACAGGGACGGAAAAGGAATCGAAAAGAGAGGAAAAGGTCAAAAGTATGAGTATAAATGTATAAAATAGTTATTATTAAAGAAACAATTCAATTGTTCTTACACTAATGAATGTGTGGGTAAGAATAGATAATAGGGAATAATATTATAAATCGCAAAATATCATTTCGGAATTAAAAAAAAAAGTTCAATTGTGCACGTAATCTAATAGTAATTTAACACAGAAAATATTGATAATCTATCGCCATTTTGTGACACGTTACGCATACGATTTATATAGAAATGTAAATATGTGTCGAAGTTGCTGAAGAAACAATGATGAAGAATTTAAAGCGAAATCTGACACAATTTTATTTCGATGATGCTTTTTATGATGACGCGCGGGACTACACTATGGTTAGACATAACAAACCTGGGCTACCTGCTTCCGAAGAACGGCGAAGCACTAATTCGTAGACACCGCTGAGTCGATTTGCCTCCTGGTTGCGATAACTGCCGCTGAACAGATGTTTGAACGAGCGTGGCCCGACTCTCGCGTCCCTTCCATAAATTATCATACTTAGATCTTTCGTAATAATTGCGGGTCTTCCGCAATTCTCCAGCTGATAAACATAATTATAAAAAAAACGAGTGTTATCAATTTTATGAAATATATTTTATAAACTCTCCGATGTGTGCGCGATATTACATTACATACGTACGTACCTCGAGATACGCGGAAATGGTCATGAAGATCTGCTCGCCGTACGACGTGACCCGATTGAGCAAGGCCGAGTTGTGCAGAGAGCTGTCCCAGGCCGCCTCGAATCTGAACATGGTCCGATCGTCGCCGGGAACTTCGAGGTACTCACCCGGGAAAAGACCTAACGAAAGTACCGACGAGTCATTGTCCTCCTCCTCGGGTTCCGGAGTGTTCCGAATGCGGCCGACCACGAGCTCGCGCACGTCCTTCCATCTCAACTCGGAAGCCGGCTCATGTACGATGGTGATTCGTATACGTCGCTGTATACCCTGATGAAGTAGGAACAGTCCGCGGCATGGCAGATCGTCGCTGTGATCTACCACTGACGGCACGTACTCGCCGTTCGGTGCCAGTTCGCAAATCTCGAACCAGACCAGCACGTCGTATTTGGCGTGAACGTGGGACGTACTCGGCGACGGAAGGACGCTTCCGAATTTCGGCGAACGTACCGGCTGGCTGATCGGTATGGATGGCGGAAGCATCCTCTTCGGCGGTTGCCGCACGCTGCTATGTCAAATACGTGTTTAAAAAATGTGTCTACATATTCTTAAGTCATTCTTAAGTCATAAATCTTGTTAAACAGCTTAACACTCACTATTCCAATTTCGCATCCTTGTGCAGCGGATGCTGTTGATAATGACCGAACACTTCAAAAACTATAGGTTGCGTCTTCAAGTACTCCAGGAATGACTTGGTAACTGTTACCGTAATCTGTATCAATAAATAAAATGTGTAACACATCAATTCATAAGATCACAGCTGGTCACTTGCATAAAAAAATTTTGTGCAAAGAGATACTTGCATTTTGTACGTGATAAAATCCAGGTGGATTGCCTTTGCCTGTATTCTTTACCGGTTCTGTTGAGAAAGCTTCGTCATGTCGATGTAGAAAACTGAGAAAGAGCAATTAATAATATAAATTACAAAACTCACATATCGTGTGTAAAAAGAAAATCGAAATCAAATCGATAGACGGACTTACTTGAACTGGCAGAAAATATCAGCGTATTCGGTGGAGATGCCCATAGCCTGAAGAACCGTTACCCTGAAAGTAAATTCCGCACCGGGTTGCAGATGATCCGGCAACTCTTCCTCTTTCATGTCGCTCGAGACCGAGCTGTCACCTCGGCCGCTATCGGCATCTCCTATATCGTCCTCGTCCTTGATGTCTTTCTGATTCACGTCGTTGTGTCCCTCGACCACGCGCTCCTCGTGCAGTATCATCTGCCGATTTTTCTCCAGAGTTTGAGCCAGAAGCGAGCTGCGCTTGTTGTGCTTATAACCGCCGAACAAGTCGTCCTCGAAAGAGATTCGTGCTGATTGTCTGACGCCGCTTGAATATTCGCTGTTTTCCTCTTCTGGAAGAAGGGTTCGTTATGTACATCTTATATGCACGGAAAAGTTTTATATAAAGTCGCGCGAAACATTTGTAATCGCGACAGAAATACGAATTACATACCAACTACAGCTTGAACAGCGACTCGCAAATAACCCTTAACGTCACCCTTCTCATTTACAATCGCTACTTTGTGAATTAACGGCACTGGATACATGAGATTGCTCAGATACACGAAAGCTCTGAAAATTTGATATAGAATAGAAAATGTTTTATTTACGAAATCGCGCGTAATATCGCATCACATCTCTTGTATTAATTTACCTGCCAACCATGCGGAACCACGGAAATCTGTCGTAAAACGGATCGCCGCCTGTAATAGATTCGATGTTGAAGTCCGGAGATGTCGGCGACAACTCGGCTTCGTTGTGATACATCTCGCGCATCAATTCCAGCCGTTGTCTAAAAAAATACAACAAGATCATCATTCATTATGATTCTCCGTGTGCGACAATTCTGTGTGATCGTAATGTATGATTATACAATTCGTGTGTCATATCAATCAAAAAAGTATTTTCTGAGAAAAAATTCTTTCGCACACATATAATCGCATTCGAATCCGTTAACAGAAATATAAATAATATAAAAAAAGTATATATTAAAGTGCGCATACGTTTTTTCAAGAAACTTTAGAATTTTTTCTTTTTTTCTATATTAATCTGTATTTGATATTATTGCTTATCGCGCGGTTTCTCAATCGACATGTATCGCAATCTGATGAGATATACGTGCAATGTTGGAAAGCGAGATAGTGAGAACACGAGTTTAGCGGAGAGTAATTGAAGAAATGTGACGGTGTTTGAGAGAAACAAACGTGCATGAAATGTGAAGAAAAACATTTTTTCTCACACATTCGCACAGATATGTACAGCCTAAAGATGCTTTACAGCAGCTGTGAAGCGATGCTGCACAAAAACCAATGGTAAAAGTTAATAGCAAAAGAAAGTTCTCTCTCTCTCTCTCTCTCTCTCATAAATTCGACATCGAAATTGATTCTTACACGCTATGAGTCAGAAGTATCATGCAAATTTAATGAACAAAACTCGACCGAGCTCCAAGATGCGCAAAGCTCGTTTTGTTGCGTGCTGAAGAGTGCACGAATCGTGCCATAATAACGAGGAAGCCTCTCAAGACAGAAGGAACAAAAATGACAAAACGCGCACACGTGGCGACGGCGGCGATAAAAATGACTTTGTTTTGCACAACCGGTAACAGTATACATAATTATACTCCGAGAGAGGCTGAGCGTGAAGCGTGTGTTACTGTTACATGGATAACTGAGTAAGAGGAGAGCCTCGCGCGTTCGAGCACCAACCTCGAAGGCAAAAGATTTGCGAGCGAAAACTTGGAATTAGAGTAGACTGTAAGGCATTGGAAAATATCCTCTTTGGCCTCCGGAGTGCTGGGGCTCGAGTCCTCGTTGTATACGTGGCGCATCAGCTCCAAGCGCTGTCTATAAGTCAACATGTATTACTTTGCGTGAGTAGGCAGTGCGTCCTTTTTTCTTTTGCGATCTCTATCTCGGATTTTCTAACGAAAAAGCTGCAATTTTTCGCGCTCAATTCAATAGCGATTTTAATTGCAACGATACCAGTCGCGCGTCTACGAGAATCTTTTCCATCTCGCCTCCATTTTATGTGACATATGATTGTTGTGATAAAATAAAGTACGTTTTTCTTCAACACAGACAAATGTTCTTCAAACACTTGAAAAATGTGTTCGTGTTCGGTTAAACAAAACGGCTCAAAATAATTTTCTATGAGAAAAATTATATTTTTTCAGAACAAGTATCTTGGGAAACGATAAATTGTTGTAAACACAGAACATGCTGTGTACTCAATATATTGATTTTCTGATAAATATATTTTCTTATTACAAAATATCATAATAAAGAAAAGTTATTTTTAATTTTTTCATATCGTCAAGAGTTTACACTTTACGTGATAATGGGTGAGTAATTATAATAAAATTATTTCTTGAAAGTATATATCGAGGTATATATATGTTTTGTCTATACGAATCTGTTCCATCCATCGATTAAATTGCGTGTTTTAAGATAGGATATGTAAAAAGAACGTACCTTAGCTTGTCTAATGTCCAATAATGCGTGGCACCGTTTTTCGTGTCTTGCACCTCGACGGCGACGATTGTGCGTGGAAACGGTCTGTCATCTTCCTCTTCATCGTCCATAGCGGGTAAGAGATCCGGTGGTAGTGGTGAGTAAAGGGTATCGGTAAGTAAAGTAAATTGAAATTGGACCTAAGGAAAAAAATCAACATGGTAAAATTTACGATACTGTAAAAAAAAATGTTTATTTCATCTCCCGAACAATATGATGCTTAACAACGCGACAAGAGGTGCTTTTTTAATGTGTCATATCACTAAGTTTGCAAAAAATTATCAGTAACTACTTTGTATCAATATATAAAAATATGTATAAAACTTTATATATATATATAAAATAAATCATTATATGTATATAAAATAAATCATTTGTATAATGATAAGTATAAATCTAACGATCTTTCAATAACTCACGATTTTAACTCTTGCGGTTTTTCAAATAATTTATTATCACATATGAGAAAAATTGCGCATGAAAATAGCGCACTGATAATGACGTATTAAACAAAAATGTTTATTATTCCTCCCGAGAACGTGCAGAGAAGTTGATTTTGAAAGTATAAAAGAACATGGTGCAAGAAAAAAAAACAAATGAAAAAGCTGTGCTAAAGAGAGTTCCCGTTGTATATCCGCGACTATACCTTCTTTTTTAGTTCAACGGATATAGCATTAGCCTCTTTGAGGAATATCGCGTTGCCCCAAAGATCATCCCGTAAACTCGTGAATTGATGATATTTCCACTTGCGGAAGGCCCAAGCGGCCAGTTGAAACTCTCTCTCGGTCCAGTTGCTCTCTGCGTCAAACAATGGGTTGACTGAAATGCAAGCCATTACCAGGCAAAACAGTCAGAGAAGCCAAGCAGTTGGTAATCGATTAATACCAATTATTTCCGTTAAAGAGAATGCGCTACACAATCTTATAACGGTAATATTAAGCTTTTGTCATGCAAGTTAATTTTCATGTGTGTATCAATGGTGTAAAAATTGATTAGGATTTATTAAAATTTTTAGAGACAGAAAAAAGTGTGAAAAACATAGAAACTATGCTCGGATCCGGGTGTTCTATAAACAAATGTATATATATATATATCACAAATGTAAAGCGCAACCGTTCCTCATACTCACCAAAAATATCTTCCTCGATATTATTGAAGTCTTCCGGCGTGTAACTGCTGTACATAGACATCGTCATACTCTGTTCCTCCACCTGTCTCTGCAACGCGTCTATTCGCGCTTCGTAGCTCTAATTGTAAAGAAATTCTCGTAGAATGCATAAAAACAATCGCAACAGATGGAAAAAACTGCATCTATGTGTATTTCTATACGTACCTTTCGCTGCTCCTCGAACAGCTGATCAGCTTCTTCTTTCTCTTTACGAAACTGTTCCTCCAGCACGAGCAATCGCTTTTCCATCTCAACCTTTAGATCTATACCTTGCTTTTCCAACAACTCAACCTGCGCGAAGTCCCAATCAGCTAATGGTTCGTTGTTGCCGGGAGTTTCCGCCGGGGATCCGTTCGCTATTCGTTCACGTACTGCAAGAAAGAAAATACAAAATAATAATACAACATTTGTTTCCTTGTCCAGATGATCATGTGCAAATATGTATTTAGATGCATACCTTGATCCGGATGATTGAATCGGAAAACGTGACTTTTTCCCAAAATTACGCGCGAACCAGTCGTCAGAATAAGCGGTTCGGTCACTTCGCGACCGTTAACGTAAATCAAAGCTCCTTTCTTCGGTATCAGAGTTATAATACCGTCTCGGTTCTCGAACACGCAGTGCTCGCTGAGTATATGTGGCCCGCACAGCTGAACGTCTTGAGGTATGTTCGCTTCGGCGCTACCGATCCGCGTGAAACCGTCCTTGATGTAATAGATCAAACATTCGGACATGAGAGGATCCTCGTTCAGATTCACCAGGTGCGGCGTCTTTTTCGGAGAAAAGACGCCCACGGTGACGCCATCCTCTTTCACGGCGACTCCCATTTCGGCGAACACCGCTTCGCGCTGCAGGCGAATCGACTCGGTTCGTTTCAGCTTCTCTTCCCACGTTTCGTTCAGTTCTTAGAAATAAAACACAGAACGATACAATTAAAAAAAAAAAAAAAGAAAAAAAAGTACAGATGATGACGGTATAAAAAAAACTGATATATTGATTACAGGAGTTTATTTCTTTGTCGGATTAATTCTTAAGTACGGTACCTGCGATTAATTTCTCAGACGCTTGCAACTGATCGACCGCCTCTTCGGCGATAGTGGATGTGGTGTGCGAAGAAATTCTTGCCCGACTTTCCTTGGTGTCTTCCTCGTTTCGCTTGTTTGTTCTGATTATTTCGTCTCCTGCAAAAGAAAAGCTCAAAATTTAGAAATGAGAGAAACCGATGTGTTCGGAAACGGTCAAGCCTGCGTCAATGTTGAGATATCGCGTGTTATATAAACACCAAAAGCCATAATTCAAAGCGGTGGATGAAAGAGAAATATTTCAGAAGCTTATAACACATATAAATCATCGTTGTTGCCACTCGATTTCTCAAAGCGTTGGATTACTTGGGCAACAAATACACTTAGTGTCTTTTACGGAGCACTGGCATGCTTCAATAAAAGCATGATCTACTTGGTATATATATATATATGTTTTATTCGATATTTGTTTTTTTATGCACTTTTGCTTCTAAATATTTATATTAACTTCGTAGGTTTTCTCATCGCAATTCTTTCTTAGATTAGAAGATAATTTTGGATCTACTCTTGTTTTTGTATATGCGAACAAAAAAAGCGTAATATCAGCTGTCACTTGAGGTAACGATAATGTAATATTTTATTCAAACTTGTTGGAATTTGTAGAAAAATTACTTGTAGTTGTATTGGAGACAGAAGTGCAATCGATAGGCATTAAAAGGACAAACACGCACGTTAAAAAGAGAGGAAGACTAATTCGCGAAGCAAACATATAAAAATTATATAACGAAATTGACATATATAAATTGTTGTTATGCGCCTGGCGGTAAATATATTGATGAAGCGCAAGAATGAAACAAAAACAATCAAACGTTCTACAAAAGAGGCGCAAAAGATGGATGATGCTTGTCTTTTGTACTTTCTGCTTGTACGGAGTTGTTTATAGCGGATTTTTTTTATTGTTACTTACTAGGTTCTTTCTTTTCGTATGTAATTTTACCATCTGGCCCTACGTCGAGCGCAAGAGAAACAAAGAAAAAATACTGTGTGAATGTGATTGCTCGTTTGCGCGCGTTGCACAATTAATACAATTTAACTTGTGGCAACCAACAATTCGCGTCTCTAATGTACCTACGTGATGATTTTTGAATAAATAATTCTGGTGCAATCTACATACTTTATAAATTACTCAAAAATCTATAATATGAATTAATAGCATAATAGACAAAGTAAATCATATATTTGTTATTCCCAAAGCTATATCTTTCAAACAATCTACATATTATGTCAATTTATTAAGCAATTCTAACTTGGGAATTTATTGTTAATTTATGTATTTACTTATTTCATCTTTTATACTTTATTCAATTTATCTTCTTTTGTACCCTTCTTTTTTTTAAGTATTAAAAACCTTTTTTATATAGTCTCTATCACAATTCTTACTAATTTCTGTAGAAGAAGGAACAACCTACCTTCTTGCACATCGATGCCTTCTTGCTTCAGTAGTTCCCGTAGTTTCTGTATCTCTTCTTTGAGCTCTCTGATAAGTCTGGCATTGGCGTCTTCGTTGACCACAGCCTTGCAAACGATTTGCTTCGCTCGGTCTGCATATCTGTGCGCAAAACAAAATCAAAAATCGTAATCGCACATCTCAAATCTGTGTGCGTTCTCTCGAAAGCTTTGAGACATTAACTTCGATATAGGTGAAAAAAATACGCAATAAAAGTATGTCGAACCGTAAAGTCGAGAGTGTTTCGTCGTAATTGATGTCGGCAGGGCTGACAGCTGCGATCATGGCCGTTTTGGAGTTTCCTCCCAAATTTTCTCGCAGCAACCACGTCAGAACGGAATCTCTATACGGTATGAAATCGGCTTTCTTCTTTTTCTTTGTTGCCTGCAAAAAAATATAAATTTGCCAAAAAATATCCGTTTGACGTGGCTTTAATTATTATCTAAACTCTCTAATGTATCACTTTCATCAAAGCACTTACTGCCTGATAATCCGTGACAGTGTAACAAAGAAAGAAAGATAATGATATCAGTGCGTGTGCGCACAATAATTTAATATATAAAGATATTCAAACATACACTTACAATTTCAGCCAGAGCGCTGATAACTTTCCCGAGAGTTGTCAGACTTTTATTAATATTAGCTCCTTCCTTTAATCGCGTTCCTTTCGCGCCTGTCGAATCGGCTCTCTCAGATCCAGCCAGATCGACCAGCGATATTTTGCTAACTTTTTCCGTCATCAATCCGGTAGCGCTGTCGTGTTGCTGCTGCGTGAAGAATATCGTGAAGACCGCGTGCGATCTGCTCGACGTTTCGTTCATGTTGGTCGCTGCGACAGTTCTAGAACGATTGACGTAAATCTCTGATGACTTGTGATCTCACACGTGCATGCGATTTACATAGAAATGATTGAAAATAAAAGTTCCTTACTAACCTGGCTTTGTTACCTTCGTCTATGAGATCATGAATGTCTTCGTACGACAACACCGCCAACTTGGACAGATCTTCGACGTAAGGTCCGTAGAGAGGATGCTCTCTCACCCGAAGATTTCCCCTGTTTTTCGGATTCAACAAATCGCGCACCCTCTCGCAATAGATTTCCATGTAACTCACTTCCACCGAATACTTGAGTCGCTCGTTAGACGTGTAGCTAATTTTCCTAAACAAATCCTTACAGATTTGTGGTATTATTCCCTCCTGGCCCTCTTCCTGTTTACCCATCATGGTGTAGGATTTACCGGCGCCAGTTTGGCCGTATGCAAAAATGCACACGTTATAACCTGAGTAAAATTATTTTTTATATATCAAAAAATCTCACTGGATTGATTCTCAGTGACGGATTAGTTTCACTGAAAATCAATGTCGCTGAATCGCGGTGAAAGAAAATGTCTCTCTACCTTCGAAAGCATGTACCAACATTTCTTCACCGATATCCTTGTAAACCATAAGTTGAGTCGAGTAATTCTCATCATTTGGCTGAAATATTAAAAAAAATTTTCCCGGATACAAATCAATATTTGCCGAGTGTGCAACAAAAAAAAACAGACAATTAATTAATTAATTGTTAAAATAAAAAATATACACACGTCCATAGAAAAGTAGGAATAGTCGTAATTGAAGCTTTTGACAGCATCTTTGCTTCCTGGTGTGGCTTTAGGATTCACTATGGCTGTAACGCAAAAAGATAAAAAAACGGATGAACTTCGTGCGATGACAAGTTTCGCTCTCTGACAAGTTTTTCACTTGTCGAGTCAGAAACTTACAAGTGGTACTCCCGTTCATTTCTATGATACATTGTGCCTGACGACTGACTTCGCGATGATTGAAGGGTCGTACCCTCACCGCCACCTTAACCGACGACATCGTTTTCTGGATTTTCTTTTAACTCAGCGTCGGATTAAAATCGGCAGCGGTGTGCCGATAATTTTGTTCCCGTTCTCGCCTCTACAACAAAATTATCATTATCACGCTGTTGTCTCACATCGCGCACTTTATTAACAGTTCGCCATAGATAAGATTATTCATATTTCATTATTTTTAAACAAACTTCTGTACTTTTTTCATATTATATTCCTCGAAGTATATACGCACAATAAAAAAAAAGAAAAGAAAAAAATCCAATGACAACATACATGCGCTTTGTGAAGTTCGAATCATCAAGGAACAATGTCAGCGATTTCGAACAATGGAAATTCAATTTCCTCAAATGTACTTGCGCAATCAAATCTAATTAACTTACAGACGAAGCTTTGCGCAATATCAAGCACTTACGCTGTTTGCAGAAAAAAAAAAATTTGAATTCGCTCCTTTTGTACGCGCGTCAGTTATTTTTAGTTTTTTTTTATCTCGACGCAGAGAAAATATTATTAATCGTTAACATTTGCGATGTGTATTATTAGAAAATTTTACTTTTTATTAAATATACACAAAATTAATACAATAAATTTTGTCGAGAATTTCAATCGAGACGCACACTTAATCCGACACATACGATGATACACGACAGACTCTCTCTCTCACGGAATCTACACAAGGCTCTCAGAGACTTGATGCGAGCACGTCATGCATAAAGAAGAAGAAGAAAAAGACGTAGAGAGCGAGAGAAAAACGTTCGATGCTAGCGTCAAAGTTACGCGAGAAAATACACATTTTTCAATACGAAGACATCCTCGTAATTTACGTGCGAAACACCATTGCGCCGCCGAGCGACGGTGATCGATACGTCGTCCAAGTGTTTGCGATATATCCGGAACGGACCAAGTCCGGAAGGCGGGCGGAGGCGAGGAACGGCCACCGCGCACCGCGATGGTATATATGTGGATTTTTACGATCGATCGTTCCACGTTCAAGAAGGTACATAACGTTTGCCGAGGACTTACTCTAGCTTGCTTTTCGACGCGCCGTTCGTTAGTTCGTTTTTTTTTTCTTTTCTTTCGACGAGAAGGTGAATGCGCGAGAAAAAGAGAATCGCGCTAACGACACAAAAAACAAAAAAAAAAAAAAACGAAATGACACGCGGTCACACGCGAGTAAAAGTCGCGAATTACACTCGCGTGTGTTCACGCGTATGGTTCACCGTGTCACTATGTCGGCCATCCGATGAACGACGACGCGACCCGCGACACCTTCGACGTAGGCCACGTAGGCGAGCATTATTATAACGCGTTTGCTCACGACCCGTGACACTTACGCGTGTTTAACCCACATGCACGCGTGTGGTGGTATCCACGGTGCGACGGCGGCTATATAACTAACCCTCTTGTCCTGTGTCTAACGCGAGCAAACAAGAGAGTTCAGCCGCTGGCTGAAACCACCCCCAGAGGCTGGTGACGAGCACGCTGACGAGCGCACGAATACGCGCACGCGGGCGCCTGCGTGGTCCGGACGACGTTCTCGTCGTCGTCTTTGTCGTCCGGAGAGACACCGGAGGGTGATGTCCGGGGGGGGTAGGGGGATGCTTAAGTTTAGTAGGGTACTGCTGCCACTTTAGTGTCGGACTAATGGGATTATTGATGTTTTTCGATAACTTCTCGGAAAAAGCATTTTCAGTAGTGCATTATTTGTTCCTGCGCGATAATCACGAATAAATAAATAATGTAATCGTATATATACATGTACAAAAATTTTGATTGGTAATGACTAATTATTGCAGACCGTATTGTTATTGATACATTATCAGGCTCTTTTTTTTTCAGAAAAAATCAAATGATGAACTGTTGCAAAAAAATATCGTCGTTGTTAGTTTGTTGTTGATTTTACGGAATGATTTTGTACAAAACAAGACGATTTGTTGCACTCATTTAAATAAATCTACCAGTATGCAAAACTTGTATTCGCGTAGCTCGTAAAAAAATCCGACAAAATCAGAAACGAAACATCGACGCATCATCGTCATTTCCGCTTCGTGGTCTCGAGAAATTGTTTTGTCGTTTTTCGCGAAATAACATAAATCATCGTTTCAAGATCACCCTCTCAACGCGCCGATTACGTCTGATGATGAGTCATGTGGGTCAGCCCGAGGTCGATTAAATCCTCCTCGCGCCGGCGGCTTACCTTCGAGCCGAGGGTCAACGCGATCGCGCGTCGTCATCCCTTGCGTTCGTTTCCAGCAATCACGGGCTTTCGGTACGCCCTTGGAACGCGCTGCTATTCCGCAGATTTTCTCGAGCGGATATCACCGAGTTGTAGCGTGTGTGCCTTAGAGGAGGACAGGGATTGGATAAATTTGTAGCCGCGCTCGCATATACGTGTATATAATTACGTTATTACACGTGTAAAGCGCAAGGAGAACACAGGGCGCAAAAAGGCGAGCGAGGAAGAGCGAGGGGTTGCGCGCGTCGATCGACGAGAACCGTCGTGTGGTCCAGGGCCGTGTCTGGCCCGCGCGCGCTCTTTCTCGGTTTATGGACCAATCGCGTCGCGCCTTGGGGGAGAAAATCAATAGTCCGCGGCGGAGGGCATACCGCGTGACGTCAGCCTTGCAACCCGACGATCGACCGATGCGACGCAGGCGGCGCCGGCCAATTTCCTAACGGTGGAGAGCAATCAATAAGTAAAAGATATCCCGCGGATATATGTATCGGCTCTGTCTCTAATAATGCTCTTTAATCGCTAAGCTACGCACGCTAGTTTCTCGAAGAAAAAAAGACGCTCCCTCTGTTTCTTCCTTCCTGTCTCTCTTGATTACGTTGTATAAAAATCATGGTCTTTTGCGCGCGCGATGGCCTCCTCCGGGGGATCGCAAATTATTTACGCGCGCCTGCGAGAAAAAGCGCGACGCGACGCGACGCTCGGCGCCTCGGCTCCTTGTCTCACCCTGTCTCGTCGACCGTCTCGATGCTCCCGAGAGAGAGAGAGAGAGAGAGAGCAAAGAACATTTTCAATTAGATAAAGAAATTTCACATTTTTAAGTAATTATCTCGCGCCGTCAATTAAAATAAGTATATCTCGAATACCTATTATGGTGTCATCAGATAACATGATCTTTTCATCTCCTAACAAGTAATTCTAAAATCTTTTTTTTTTAATAAATTGAGTTATCGCATTTATATCGACATTTGTCTACGTATCGTCTTCAATTTTTTTCTTCGTTTTAAATACATCTTTCGCTTAAACAGTCAATCCAAAGAGACGAAACGTCTTTCTTAACGATGGGAAGCGTAGGAGTCGTAACGTTGTTGGGGATAAGGTACTCCCTCTCTCGAGAGCGCAACGAAAATGACGAGGGCAGATTGATCGCAAACTGAATGTCCCCGAACACGTTTCCGAACGCAAATTTCACGTTAATTGCTCGTTAACGAAGACGTGCTCTTGGTGTTATCGATTATCCAAATTTAACGCGTGGCTAAATAAAATTGAAGAAGATACCGTGTGCGCGACATTCGTAATCAGAACAATCCTCCGTAAATGGGATCAGATTTTACGATTCAACACAGTACACGTTCATTGCAAATCCTCTACTTTTTCCTAGAAAGAAGAGAATATTTTAGTTTGGGCATAGAAAATTCTGAAAATTTACACAGATCTTACCATAATTTGTTGAATTTCCGAGAACTTTTATTTGATATTAAAAATCGGAGAAAATATA